AATGACACAGCATTAATTCAAGTGCTTACCATGTCTTATCAGCTGAGCACTATTTCACTTGTTAAACATTAAAAAAGGGTTTTAAATGCTGGTGAAATGGGTATGTAAGAGGGTGGCAATGGTGGGAAAAGGCGAGAGGTTGTGTGATGTGTGGACATGTGAAACACCTTAAATCCTGGGATAATTAAATATTTCTCTCTAAATTGCAACAGTAATTTAAACACCAGAATTAGGTACAGAAAAAGTTTGAATTAATGTCTACATGGTTGTGCCCTTAATTTAAAAATAACAACACTATTACAGTAACAGTTAGTTTTGATTATCAGTATACCTTATTTTATAAAATTAAAATAGGTGAAATTTTATGTAAAACTGTTTAAATGCCTACTTAGAAATGCCAGTGAATGGATAACAAAAGGTAAGCTGTGTATTAGTAAAGTGGAGGAGATAATAAATTTGCCAGCTGTGAGAAGTGTTTAATGCAAAATTCTCATGTGAGACATATAGTACATTCCAGATGTTTTTCTGTTGAATTATGCCATAATATGCTTCAGTTATTCTTAGCAATTATATATTTTGCAGATTGCCAGTACCTGCAGCTGTTTTTCATCCTGTTAACATTTTAATCAATATCTTAAAATAAACAGTTATAACTGCCAAGTATTACAGAATTTCAGCCAAAAATAATGCGGGCAGGACTAAAGGGAGGGTGCAAAGGCCCCCCCAAATGTGAGGTAATTTATTCAGTGGACTAGATGGTTTGCCAAAGAATATTGTTCCAGCTAATACCTAACATACAGTTCTGCTATTCTACACAAATCAGTCTGGGAAATCACAAGAGAGTTGCAGAAGCCTGGGGCTAATTATTTCAAAACATCTAAAGAGCTGAATGGGAAACTCGCACCCCACTCTTGCTTCCTGCACTACTTGAAATACTGCTGCCTGAGACTGGTCAAGCCAGTGTACCATTTCTGATTTGGTGTAAGAGCTGCAGCCCGTGGAGGAAATTATAGGCACTCTAATATGTGACCAGTCACAAACACACCACTCCCATTGGATTCAATATGGATTATGTCTAAAACCCCTAAAACACTATTTATAACAATGAAAGAGCAAACTCAATTGTTTTATGATGCTAATTTGGTTTTTGATGGAATGTCCGATTGACTGCATTTAAGATTTGTTCATTTCAACAACACCATGGCTTTCTACAGTAGGTTAATCAATTGTAAACTCAAAAGGCTTCAGTCTTACTTGTGACTTTAGAAATAAGCTAACTGGACTGCAGGTCATTACTACAAAAATGTGGCTGCTGGAGATATCCTGGAGTCTTTGAAGAACAACTTAGTCACACAGTGACCCATTTCCAAGTATTTCTAACATATATAACCCGGTTTTCAGCCAATTAGCTTTCGAAGTGCCTCTCAGTATGATAAGTCTGCTTACTAAAGTAAAAGAATCTTAATAAATGAAAGGCACAGAGGTCACTTTCTAACATTAGGAGCATGCACAATTAGCATACACCAAATCAGCATTATCGAGATCTGAGCATCTTAAGACATTTGAAGGAACTCCCTTGGAGACTTGTTAAATCTGAGCATAGAAGCTCAGTAAGGACCTTGCTTTAATGCCTGGGGAAATTCTCCTATATATACTTTAATGGATACTTTATCTTGGTCTTATCTGTTAAGTATCTCAGGGGCTTGGGAAAAATGTACCCAACCAACAGGAAAAAATGACTTTTTTAAAAAAAGGAGCACAACCTGATTTTCAAATGGTATTAATTCAAAAAGAATAGTATTCTTAATCAGTCCTTAAAAGCAACATAATCTAAAGTTGTGATAGCAGTCATGCTGTTATGGCATATGTGTATGGAAGAATAATGACTGTGCACAAACAAAGGAGAGAGTTCAAAATATAGTGAGGAAGAAACAGAAGACTAGCCTGCTTATTATTTATTTTTATCTTCCATTAGGATTTACTGTATTTCTCAGTGGAGCTGTATCAACTGTCATCTCTTGCCTCCCCATTCTGCCCTGCCCTGTTATAGCCTTGCTGTCTGCTGATATGTGATCCACATTTTTCCCTTCTTCTACTACCTTGACTCCTGTAGATAGGTTGGATATGGCACCGGAATGGTTCTACAATGCCTTTAAGAGCCACTCTAGTGAGTTCTGGAACTGCAATCACCTTCAAAGTGAGCAGAAACATGTTACATTCTAGTCATAAATGATAAGCAAGAGGGTGCATTTTTCTCCCAGCAACAGGCTAGAGCTGGACATCTGTCCCAGTTACAATGGCTTTCCTCTTGCATCTTAATTTAAATCAGAGGGCCAGGTTCTACTGATAAAGAGTTCTGAACAGGAATGGAGAAATGGTGATGGATTGTCCTATAGTGTAGCTTTTCTTTTGGAGATATTATATATGGCTCTCTTGCTAGACTAAGTTTAAGGACAATAATTACAACAGAATAATGTTAATGCTTGTCACAATCTGCTACAGAACCTTTCCTATTTAGATTCCCCCTGTCCATGAATCTATAGACAGACAGCTACTTTGCATTAGTTTAAAATGTCAAATAAAAACCTCAATTACTTTAAATTATTCATTCTGGCTTCTGTAATCTCCGTTAGCTTCTTTGTTTCCTCCTTCCACCGGTTAGTTGCTTTCTGTTGTGCTATCAACAGGCCTCTCAGCTCAGCAATAGAGTTTTGATTCACATCTTCCATTTCTTTTAGTCGAACTTCAAACCCGTGTTCTTTTATTAAATGTTCATTCTTCATTGTACTTATCTATAATAAAAATAAAAGCCTCACACTGGAACAGTAACCTTTGTCTTTTGATCTTGGAACTATGGTTTATTAGTGTGTTCACGTAAACAAATATTCATGCTGTACCCATTTTAAAGGATAACAAATGTTTCATAACAAATTCAAAATACAAGATAAAAACAATCCATTTCTGAACGGTTTAATTTCCACTTTCTTCTTTTACAAAGTGCAGTTAACAAGTCACTTGCCTTGAAGAGTTTAATTTAATTGAAATTGCACTGAAGTAACAACCAGATTATCACACTTGATCACCTGTTGTGAGTAATAATTGGTTCTAGGAAAGTAGATATTTTATCCTTTACACATTTCCTCAACAAATGCTTAGCGGTCTACAATAAGCATCTCATATGAAGCTTCTGATGAGCACTGAGTTATGAGAGCTAAACTTTGAGTCTATCAATACTATCTCCTTCTAATGCTACTCACTATTTCAGGAAAGTATTATCCATACTCTGGTTGGGGACTACCAAATAGAGACAATAATCAGTAGAAGGGAAAAGAGAACATACTTTTGACCAATTATAACATTAAACATAAGCACCTACCACAAAGGAAAAGAAATATGAGATGGTAAGAAATTCACATGTAGCAGTATATAAAGAAAACATGCTTGATTTTTGCTCACTCACACACAGACAAGAGGAAACAAATGTGAAAGCTAGGAGACAGAGGTAGAAATAATATTACATCTGTGATGGCTGGCAGAGTTGTATATATAGGATTAGTGTTCTCAACAGGTGTGGGACAAACATTCATAGAATCATATATTTATAGGCAAACTATATTTTCAGATTTGATTATTTCAGCTCCATACTTCCCACTACAAAACAGGAGCTGCCTTGGGTCTCCTCCGTGGGAGAAAGATATCACAGAAACCAATCAATCGAACAAACAAAATGAACCTATTACACAGGTTAGTATGCACTTAAGCATAATGTTTAAGATTTTGCTTGTCTGAGTCTAAATGACATGACTGGGTGGAGAACAGAGTGGGCACATGAACCAGAGGATTACACTCCTATACTTCAGATAGCTGTGTACAAAAAGGAATGTTAAGCAGATGTGGCTTTTTATGCACAGTGCTTATATGTACAGTGGTGCCCCGCATAGCGACGATAATCCGTTCCGAAAAAATTGTCGCTATGTGGATTCGTCGCTATGCGGGGCAAATAAGCCCATAGGAATGCATTAAAACACATTTAATGCGTTCCTATGGGCACAAAACTCACTGTTATGAGGAAATCCTCCATGCAGCTGCCATTTTCGCTGCCCGGTAAGCGAGGAAAGGGCGTGGAAACAGTGCGGGCGGCCATTTTTTCCGGCAGCCATTTTGGAACTGCCAATCAGCTGTTTTCTAAAACATCACTATGCAAAAATCGGTAAGCGAAACGCTTACCGATCATCGCAAAGCGATTTTTTGCCATTAAAAAGATTGCTATGTGGATTCTTCGTTAAATGGGACGCTCGTTAAGCGAGGCACCACTGTACTCCATCACCCTAGCAGAGAACCAAGTGACCTCATTATCTTGCACTATCAACTGCTGCTTCTTGATAGCTGGAGTTCTACTAAACAGCTAAGTACTCTAACATTTTTCTGTTGATTATAGATAAGAAAATGCTATTTTAAATATTATTGCAAAAGACAAATTTATTGTATTTGTTCTCAAAAGAGAAGAAAATTAAATAAATCATCTTGTTTCCTTATACTTCTCCCACCACTAACCGCCCAAAATGTGAAACAAAAACTGAAATATTAAGTAAATGACAATACCTTTAATTTTGCTGTTTGTTGTGCCTCCGTTGCCAACCTTCTCAAATCTTCCATTTCTTTTTTAAACTGTTCATTTTCTTGCTGCAGTTTTAAACATTCTTCACCAATGGAGCCACAGTTCTGTCTTGAGGAGTCCAAAATACTTTGCAAATTGTGAATCATTTCCTGACAACGGCCTATCTCTTCCTCATAGCTTCAAATAAAAGAAAATGCAAAAAAATATCTGGCAATCTATTCTTGAATGAGGAAAAAAACCATGACACATTTTAAACAAATAAATATTAATATACTAGAGTCGCTGGTCAACTGAATGCATAAAACTTATAGCGCTGAGCAATACAAATTATTTAAAATAAGAATGTGTTAACCATGTTCAAACATGATGGAAAGTTTTCCTGATAGTATGAGAGCTGTATTTATTTCCAACTCCTTTACTTGAAGGGATTTTCTTATACTTTTTAGCATATGGATAGTTCTGAGCATGCCCAGGAGCATAAACTGGGCTTCAGATTAGGGCCATTAAATGAAAGAATCCCTAAAGGCATTTTACAATGTAATTTACCACTTCTTCTGTTTTTCCGTTTGTCAGTACAAACTCCAATTAACTCATAAGTAAATTGTCAAAGCACAGGACAACAAACAAAACCATAACCTTGTGCACCAGGTCTCGTGTTGTGATCTGTGTGAATAGCCCTATAACAGTTCAGATTCTACTCTTCTATTTTAGTTTAGAGAAAAATAAATGTTTGTACTTATAGGAGATTCAGTGTCCATTCTATTCCTGTCAGAATGATTGGGCCAACTGACAAAAATAAATAAATATAGTGGTCCAAGAAATTGTTCTGAATTTATAGATTTCAAAGTAATTCTCTTCAAAGGCATTAGTAATCATGCCTACAGATGCTTAGCTCATTTCATACAGGCAAGAAGTGCAGAGATAAACCTTTCTTATCACTAAAAACATCCGAAACACCTGATTTAAAAAAAACAAAAAACAAAACCAGAAAGATGACAGAACCTTGCTTGAGATTGAGCATTTAAAAAAAAAACTACTGTACATACATCATTTTATGTAAAATTTACTACTGCATCTTTACTACTGATGAACAACTAATGGCATTCAATGGAAAGTAACATTCAGCAACAAAAGAAGGCAATATACAGGGCATAAAATTTGGCTGGATTGTGATTGCAAATAGCATGTATTTATGATGCTGTAAAACAAAAAGGTGCTCTAGTGCAAAATTAAGGCCAGATGGTGGTTGATAAACACATTTACAGGTCTCCTAATTAACTAGAAGACATTATTACTGGCTAAAAAAATCCCTGAAAAGCAGACAAGCTGAAAAACAAACCAGATTTTTTTAATACTGTTCTTTGCTCACAACTCAGACATTTGAGCAGCAGACATTTGAGCTACCATTTTAGTAGATATCAAAAGATAGGATTCTTCTTTCTTCAGTGAACAAAGAAATAGCAATTTCAGACAACAATAATTCCTTGGCAGAAACCCCTCTTGCGCAGCTCCGTGTATGGAATGGTGATGACATCAGTAGCTGTGGCAGAGCACCACCGATGAAAAGCTTCCTTTGGGGATTTCAGGGTGCATGTTATTGTATATAACAGTGGTCCCCAACTTTGAACCTGCAGATATTCTTGAGCTACAATTCCCAGAAGCCTTCACCACCACCTCTGTTGGCCAGGATTTCTGGGAGTTGAAGTCCAAGAACATCTGGAGGCCCAAGGTTGGGGACCACTGATATAAGTCATGTGCACCCCAAATCACCTTTAATCAGAAGCAATTTGTCACTGATGATGATGTATACAGTGAATCCATTGATGTGGTCAGCATTTAAACCAGTATCTACTGAAGTTCACTTTATAGGAATTTATCTCAATACATACTACCACAATCCAATTAACAATTATGGACACTTTGAGGGAATATTGATAATTGAACTCTAAGACAGGGATGCAAATTATTGTGTCCTATGAAGTAACAGAAATATGGGTAAGGGAAATGGGAATGGGGAAACTTAATGATAAGTGGAAGAACTAGAAAGAGACAGGGCCATGCCATTTTCTTTGTCTTTCTAGTTCTCTGTTGTCTTCTTCTCTTCTTGCCTTCACTCTTTCCCAACATCAGGGTCTTTGCCATGAATATATTACAAGGATTAGCTAACTCTCATTTAGTCTCCAATTTGGTTCAACCCACCTACCCTAGTTCCAACAGTCCCAACGAGAAACCCTTGTATTCAGCATGCCTTCTTATCCTTCCCCCTTCCAGGAATGGGTCCCCCAAAATCTTGGACAAAGCTACTCCCAAAACTAAAGGGAAATTAGATACAGCCTGGAAAAACTGGTCACAAATTATTGTTTTATGGGATTATTACGATTACAGCCTATACAAAGTAAGGCAAAAACAATAAAATGCAAGCACTAAAAAGGTCAGATTTTAAAGAGAAAAAAGTGGCAACACAGATAAATGCCTCAACTGAATGTTTTATATTATGTTTCAAGGGGAATTTCCCAATCAGCTATAAAAAAACACATATTTTCTATAAAAAAACGAGTCTACATAAAAACGGATTCAACGATAAAATGTCCTACTTAACCTATGAAATAACTCTTATAAATAAGAGACAAGACAGATCTGGATAGAAAAGTTATGGCTGTAAAAACGGGTAAACGTAAAAACTGTAACTCAAAAGACTTAAGAGCAGCGGTTTCTCACCTTGAGTCCCCAGATGTTCTTGGACTAATACTCCCAGAATCCTTCATCATTGCCTGTGCTGGCCAGGATTTCTGGGAACTGTAGCGAATGAACATATGGGGACCTAAGGTTGGGAACCACTGCTTTAGAGAAAACTACTGAATGAATTTAAAACCTCTTTATAGCATACAGCAGTTACTCACTTCATTTCTTGTTGTTTGATTTTATTTTGCGCCTTCTGAAGACTGAGCTGAAGATCATCTTTTGCACGCTCAGCAATCAGACATCTTTGGTGAAGTTCTTCTAGTTTCCTGTAGTCACCTTCATTTCCTCTACCTTCGCGGTATATCTGATTAATGGATTCACACAAAATCTCTTACTTGTTTTTCTTCCATTAGACCCCTACAAAGTAACTTTGCCATCTGCTTTCAATTACTCGGCACACTTTAATCTAATTGCAAGTGTGATTTCCTTTCTAGCATTATTACCTTCCTCTAAGATAAATCTGCCCACACTACTATCTCTCAAAAATCATATGAAGACTGTATTGTATACTTTCACTTCTCACTAAAAGTTTGTGTCCTGTTAATTAATGTGTTATAATTATCAGAACAGTTAACCTGAAAGCAGGAATATTCCCTGGGAAAAATTCACTCAAGTTTCACTTTCTGGACAAAATCCTGTTGCCATAAAGTTATGCAATGTATATATTTAGTTTAAATGAACTGAAAGCTTCCTATCCCCTTCCTTCAAGGGGCGAAAGGATGCCCTAAGGAGCCTCAGAACCTGGGGGAGGGAGTGAAAATAAGAATCTCTGAATTAATTCAAATTAAATATGACCACTGTCAGATCTGGCTTGTACAGCATAAATTAACACAAACAGATTTCTTTATTTGATTCAACGGAAAAGGAGCAATGACTGATCTTTGTAAATTCCTCCTATGCAACCTCATCATATTATTTCAAAGAATCTCTGAACTCTAATGCAAATTTGTGAGTGGTGTGTGGGGAACAGCAACAGGGCTAAGACTGAATCCTGCCCAGTACTATTAGCAGGAATGATGTATTGGATTAGACGCCTTCCACAGGCAGCACCAGCCATTCCATGCATAAGAGGCTAATAAATCAAAGGTTACCATCTGCTGCTTGTACAGTGGTGCCTCGCTTAGTGATGTTAATTTGTTCCGAAAAAATCGCTGCTAAGCAATTTCATCGCTAAGCGAAGCTCGGTTTCCCATTGAAATGCATTGAAAACCAGATAATCCATTCCAATAGGAACGAATTGCCATCTTAAAGCGAAAATCACCATAGGAATCATTGCTAAGCGAAACGGGGTTCCCCAATTGAAATGCATTGAAACCTATTCAATGCATCTCAATGGGGGAAAAAAATACAACAGCAAATTTAAAAAGAGGCATAACACAGTCAAATTTGGTTAACAAAGGGTTTATTAAGTGCACTTTATGGTTTCAAACATTTTAAACAGTAAACTTTAACTTTATAAATAACAGAAAAACATTTAAAAACCAGCAAACATGAGGCTGTTTAAACCACCGTTAAGCGAAACAAGGGACACAAAATTTAATCACTATGTGAAGCATGATCTCAACCATCGCTAAGTGAAAATCGCCCAAAGGGACCATCGCTAAACGAAGTGCAAAAACGCTCCGAAAAAGTCGTCACTAAGCTATTTCATTGCTAAACGGAGCACCTGTTAAGTGAGGCACCACTGTATTTTTATTTTCATGGGTTTTGATTTCTTGCAAGCTGCCTTGAATACCAGTGTGTGACAAAAAGGCAGGACAACATATTTTCTTAAATGAATTGTGAAAACTGATCCCAGATTAGTTTCCAAATCATCCCTCTCTATGATAACTTTAATCATGGCATCTGGTTAAAAAAGTTCAAGTTAGCTGCAATTTACCCCTAGTCTTTTGTCTTTTTAAATGGGGATTGATACCTCCTTATACTTGACCTTCAATCCATCATTTAACTTGACCTTCAATCCATCAAATCCCTTCAAAAATACTGTACACATAATATTGGATTGGCTTTTTCCCTTTCTCTTTATTCAATATAGCATTTATAAATTCATCTCATATCTCATTAAATCTATTTGTCTTTAACTCTACTTTTTTGTACTTAATTTCTGAAGTCAATTTATTATTCATTGCAATATTCCAAATTTCATTATACCAGTCATACAATTGGAAAACCCAATTTTGCTTCCAGTTTTTTCAAATGGGCAATCCTGCTTCTGTTAACAAATTCATTGTCATTTTTTAAAACATTACTCACATCATCATTTCGTATTGATATTATTAAAATGACGATGATTATTAAAAATAATAATGCTTTTGTGACGTTTCAATATTAACTTCCAATATTTCTCTAATCTTTTCAGAAATGTTACACCTTGTCCTTTAAAAAAAGTAAGATATAATGGTCCCCAAGGTGAAATGGGCACTAAGTTTTGTGTTATTGTTTTCGTATGTAATTTGTGTGGACAGAATCCAAATTTTATGTTATATTTTATTAATTAGTTTAGTTTAAAAATGTAATAAAAATTTAAAAAAATTGAAACGAATTGCGGATTTATAGAAGGCAAATGATACAGTCATGTTTTCGCAGATAACAGGTTTCACAGAGGTAATAACTTTACTTGAAAGCCAGTATGGGGGACCAGACAGAATGTAGGATCAGGACTTGGGACACTTGCTCAGCTATGGAAACTTACTGTGAGGTGGTAGTGGTAATACCCTCCTTAAATCTCTCTCACACTTTGAAAACCTTACTAGGATGACTGTAATTTGGAACTGTAAGACTACTTGATTTATTTACTGTTTTCTGGATTCTAGTTTTGTTTTCTGCCATAGGTGGAATTTGTGAATAAAGTATGTAAGAAGTAAATTTCCTTAGTAAATAAATCCCAAAAACGTTTTTCAAAACAATTTCTGTCAGAAGAAACAGAAGATGGATAGCAATGACTTTTAGCAATATATTACCCAGATTACCAATTCTTAAGCCTTTGGACTCCCCTCACCCAAATGTACAAGCTTTTAGGTACATTCTGCAACTACAGCTCAAGGGAACAGGCGACATTTGTTTCGCAGGCTCCCCCCCCCCATTTTGCCTCTGTCTGTGGATACTCTTTTTGTAGCCATCATGGGAAACAATACAACAGCAAAGGCAGCATGTGCAACCCCTACTATCACTCCATGCCAAGTGTCTTGTGTAACGAAAAAATTCTTGAGTAGGGCTCATGAGCTCACAAAATATTTCCATAAGCATTCAGGTATGGGTCAATGGTCTTTAGAGAGAAAACATAGCCAGGATGCATTGGAACTGCATTCCAATAAGGGGAGAAAAAAATTCACTGAAAATTAACAAAGACTCAGAACAAAGCCAAATTAAGTTTGCAAAGGTTTTACAAGGTGCACTAATGATTCCAAGCATTTAAAACAGTTTTTGAACATTTTAAGACACTTTAAAAACAGCGAAAACGGACATCGCAAAACCATTGGAATGCATTGAATAGGCTTCAATGCATTCCAATGGGGGAAACAATGTTTCGCTTAGCGATGTTTCCTATGGCGATTTTCGCTTAAGGACGGTAATCCGTTCCCATTGGAACGGATTAACCGGTTTTCAATGCATTCCTATGGGAAATGGTGTTTCGCTTAGCGATGTTTTCCCATAGTGATTTTTTTTGGGAACCATCAGACGGAAAATACTATCAGACGGAAAATACTATACATGCAATCTTTTAAGAACTACCATAGGTATCTCTACATATATGAACATGCTGCACACTAAAGGTATGAAAATGGCCTGGGCTAAAATAAGTTTCACCTTTTCTAGCTCTTCTTCCACTGCTCGCTTTTCTCTAATAGCTCGCTCAATTTGGCTTTGCTTTTCTCCACATTCCTAGAAAGGAATCAAAGGATAAGTATACAAGAGCAACTCGCATACTACTTTATCTGAACTTGGCAATGGTGCTATGGCTGCACCTTCAGGTACCTTGTTCTGATGTGTGCAATCTTCAGCATACAACGTAACCACAAATTCCACCTACCTGAAGCTTCCTGGATTTCTATGAGTTACTTTTCTGCTTCATTTCTAATTCCAAAGCCACACATTCGAACAAAGTTTGGTTCTGTTTTATTCTTTATTTTGGCATTCCAGTTGTATTTGGTTATCAGTATACAGTGGAGCCTCAACTTATGGACGTCCCTACTTATGAAAATTTCAAGTTACGAAAAGCTCCAGCTGCAAAATTTTGCTTCGACTTGTGGCCGGAACTTGCACTTACAAAAAGAAACAGGCAGGGAAAAAGGGCAGGAAATTCAAACCATTGGTGGCAAAAAGGTTGCTTCTTTGCCCCAACAGTTAGGAAAAGGGAGGCTGGGACCTGGTGTGGTGGTCGGGGCAGCTTTGGAAGCCCAGGAAGCTGGGACCTGGTGTGGCGGTCGGGGCGGCTTTGGAAATCCGGGAAGCCGGCACCTGGTGTGGAGGTCGGGGTGGCTTTCAGCTTCCTGGGCTTCCAAAGACGCCCCCGCTGCCCTCTGCCTCCCGTCCCTGCTGACTCTGCCGCTGCAGGAGGCAGCGGGGACAGGAGGCAGAGGGCAGTGGGGACGGGAGGCAGAGGGCAGTGGGGACAGGAGGCGGAGCCTGGCCAGCATGTTTCGGCGGCTCACCTCCTGGCAGCGGCGGCAGTGGAGGCAGCAGGGTAAGGTGCTGCTTTTTGCTTTTTAAAACTGTTCCGTTTTTACAGTACAGTATTTTATTTTTAATTTTTCTGGTATTTTTTGCTTCGGCTGGAACGGATTAATCAGTTTTCAGTGCATTCCTATGGGAAATGGTGCTTCAACTTACGAAAATTTCAGCTTACGGCCACCATTCCAATACAGATTCATTTTGTAAGTTGAGGCACCACTGTATCTGGTTTTGTAATGTGATCCATTTCTTCCTGGATCCTTTCATGAAAGCTTTCATTTTTCTCTTTCTTAAGTATATGTAATAGGACCACACTGAAATGCTAACTCGTTTCATCACTGGCTCACTGTCTTTTTTACACATATTGCGCTTTGAAGCCCATGCATGCCTACTTTCCACGTAGTATTTTAGTAGCAAACCACAAAAACCCATTACCTGTTTACTTCAAATCTCTTCCACTTAGCTAAAACATTCTAGTCTCCTGTTGCAGAATACAGGTAGAACTAAATGTGTAAGACAGAAATTTTACAACATTGTAATCTGAAGAGCTGTAAACAATGCCCCCAGTTTTCAGTGACTTCTCAGCCATACTTATTTTTAATAGTTAAAAAAAAGCCAGGACAAATTGTCCGACAAATTTTCCATGGAGTACTTTCCCCTCACACCCAGTGTAACGTGTGGAGACAGAAAGTCTCAGGCATTTGTCAGACAAGTTATGAGGCTAATAAGCAGATGTGTCATATCCAGGTTTACCATATTTGCAAGATGGGATGCACTGCAGTTGTTATGGGGTACATGAGATGTGATGTGGAAATTCATGAAAATCTTGCTTTTGTCCAGGTAACAGGAAGTCACACAACAAACAACTTCAGAGAAATCTAACACATACCAATTGGAGTGCAGTACATTCTTTGCTTAATCGAGAAATCTGTATGGTACGCCTTTTCTTTTCATCTTCTATCTTTAAAAAAAAAGGTATATGATTTAATAGAGACGCCTTTTAAAAATCATATCACACACTATTCTATTTAAAACATGAATTTAATTTAAATGGGTGACACATACAGAAGGATAAAAGTAACTGTAGAATTATTACTTTGATCTACATATTTTAGTAGGGGGAGGATTTCTATGACATTTCACACTTTCTCTGCAACCTAAACTTGAACCTACAAGCAAGCTTAAACATGTGTATGAGTAATCTAGTCTTTCTTACCAGATTACTCATAAACATATCCAAAACCACTTGTAAGTTCAAACACAAGCTGCAAAAATATGACATCTCATAAAAATCCTCCCTCTAAAAGTAATATGAATTTTTAAATATAATATATGTACTTCCCAACACATTAAAAGCTACAGGGAATAAAGATTCAAAAGTAAGATATTTCAAAACATATAATAAAGAGGGTCTATATCTTTGAACAGATATCAAATATTAAAAATTAGATATACTTTTTATCAATACTTTTATAGCATGTTTAGAAAAAAGAAAAGTAATGTGCCCTAGGCATCTCATTGCCTGAGTGTTTCAATGAGTCTTATGCTACAAACGTAATGTTGCCAATCCAAGAATCCATGGATATAGATGCCAAATTGGAATCAATGAAGGCCATTGGGAATACATATTTTATTAACAATTTCAAACTCTAACAGGATAATAAAATCAATTTCAATGTTTTATACCCAAGGAGATCAATCATAACATTTCTGTCGTGGTGGACTTTGGCAATTCAAAGACGAACACTGCCACATTACTATTTTAATCACTCTTAAATATTTAAAAGTTGCTATACCAATTCTGTTTTATCAAATTATCTTTCAACACGGAAACTTCAGAATGATATTGCCTGTGAGAGATTCCCTCTAAAATGTTACAGGGAAGCTCATAGCAGTACTATCCCATTATGTAAAGGAAGAAACATGCTATGAACAAAAAGCAGATACACAACATGAACTTAGAAGAGCCACTATGGATTCCAAAACAGCATCTACCAATCCACGTACTACTTGGCAGACAAGCAGAGCACACATTATTTGAACAGAGGAAAACAACTCTTTTTCAAAACAGTTTTGTCACTTGTGGTAATAAGGTGTTCACAATGACCACATGTAGAGACTATAGGTGATATTTACACCCTAAAATTAAAATGTATTCCCTTTTAAAATTAGAAATAAATTAACATACCCTTTTTTCAGATGAGACCTCTAATATTCAGTTGTAGCATACTTTCTAACTACATACACAAATAGAGATGACCATGAACCTCAGTTTGGACATTTGTACTGGTTCATACTGTACATGCGGCACCACAGATGCTGCACATGCCCTTCCCATGCCTGGATCTCCCCCACACCAGTCAGCATGTGCTCCTCTCCTCTCCAGCTGTTTGACTAGTCTTCAGCAGGAGCACATGCTTCCCTGCTCCACCTCCATGGTTGATCCCCCACTCAGACAAATAGGCAGGACAGGCAAACCTGCGCTCCTGCAGGAGTCTGGATGAACAGCTAAAGAGGAGGAAAGGAGTGCACTCCAACCGATGAGTGGATCATTGGATGGGGAGGCAGGGAAAGGGAATGAGGTTCATACCTATCTCTATACATGAATAATGTGTTCATGCAGATCCCTTTCCATCTAGTGTTTCAAAATGAATTTGAATGCAGATTCTCTCAATCAAAAACTACACATTGGTTTTGTTGGAATTAAATTTCAGCACTCCATTTGGCTAAAATGTACTGCACATTTTTTGCTTCACAACTTATATAGAAACTGAAGTTATTTAGATTAACTAATACACAGTTAGTGGAAAGAGATGTATGTTTATTGATATCAAGTTCAAATGTATAAAAACTCCAGTGTTTCAAGGAACCAGAAGTTTTAAGCATAATGACTCACTTCTTTTTTAGTTCTCAAAGCAACATTTTGTACCAACTGAGAAAATCCCTCCTTCATATTTGTAATCTCCTCTTCTTTTTGTTTCTGAGCTATCATTGCCTAGGGTGGGAAATAAAAGGTTACACTCCATTAAAACGATCTTCCTCTGGGGCACATGCCCAGTCAAAATTCTGACTAATAAGTCTACAGAAGGCTGTGGGTTTTGCTTTGCTTTAGTAAACAGAAAATAAAAAAGACACTTTCTTACCTGGTACTAAAACAGTTTCTTCAATAAACACATTCTAAGAGTTTTGGAATTATCTATGTGTTGACTACCCAAATTAAATGTGTCTGCTGCTTTATGCATCATTAGGCTTTAAGGTTCTTCCACAGTGACAACAATGAGGGCGTTCCTAAGATATCTGATTATAGGCCAAGAGTAATTTGCTATATCCAAACTTTCAGGCTTCTTAAAGTTGTTGTGATCTCAGTCCAAAAGATTAGGTTGAAACACTGACAAGAGAAGAACCTCTTTCTAGAAGCAACATTTAAAAAAGTTTCCTAGAAGCATTTATATAAATAGTATATCACACTTTTCTTATTCTTAAACAAAGTCTTTCTTGAAGGATTTTTTGTCTAGCAATACATAGAATTTCACTTCCTGTCATAGCCATACCTAATCTGAATAATTCATCTTTTTCTACAGAGGAACACACATCAGCAGCATTAATATATCTTTGCCTAGAAAATTATCTAGGTTTCACCAGATCTTCTCCTTCATATGCCTAGTCTCTCTGTCCAGTTCTCTTACTGAAAGCACACTTTTACCACCAGCCTTCCCAGAATTAGAGGACAAAAGAGATCATCCTGTTTCTTCACCTATTTTTTCTATGTCAGAAAATCAGGATTAGTTTAACTAATTACAACTATTTCAAGGTTCTATTCTCAGAACTGTTCTTAAAAATGAACACTAGCACCATTCTTTCAAAATGCATATTAAAAATTAAGCATTGCGTCATAGGGTAAAGTCTACAAGACATGAGCAGGACTGCTAATGATGGGACATTTTGGAGGTCATTATTTCATAAGGTGACCATAACTTGGAAGCAACTTGACAGCACAAAATAATAAAGAGAAGTTAAAGGTTGTTTAATCTACGGTAACCCTGTTGGTTGGTGTGCTGTAGCACAAGAAAAACTAGAAGCACCTTTTAGATTAAGCAGTTTTTATTTTTCATAAGCTTTCATGTGTCCAACACATTTCTTCAAACAAATGGAATGGTTTGTCACCAGGGGGAGAATAAAACTGTTGGCAAGTGAGAATTTGCCAGAAGAAGACAACAATTGTATCTGTTGCTCCTGCGTGAAGAAGATCTTTTAACAGTCAATAAGCAGTAATCAATTATCAATATTTTAGAAAGAGTAACTAAATGGCTACTTAATCTTATTACAAAACAGATATGCAAAATCAACCCTCCGAAGCTTTATTTACCTGACTTGCTTGTAGATTAGCTTCTTCTAAGAGTTGCAGGCTGTCACGGACTTTTCCCACAGCATTGTATTTCTCCTTTTCTAAATCTACACATTTTTTTTGTAGCTCCTGGATTTGTTTTTCTAGGGTTGTTCTTTCTGTCCTTAGCTGTTCAGACTCTTTGGTTACAAGACAAAGCCTGAAAACATAATGACCATTTTTACTGACTAAATGTGGACAACAGAGAAACAGCATTGACTTTCAGCCTGGAAATAAAAAGAGGATATGATTATACAATCTTCTGCCTGTGTAGTACTTCACCCTCCCTTGGTTATGCAGATTTACTTTCTCAGGATGATCCTGGATCTTTTCCCTGTACCCTAAAAGCTGGATTTCAGATGCTCAGGAACCCTTCCTAAAAACCCACTGCAACATCTCCTTAAAATTCAGACCTACTGATAACTGTTTATATCTTTGCACCCTTGCTTACTGTACTTGGGGAGATTTTTCTGTAAAAGCCTACTGAGGGGCATGTTTTGAGTGCTTTTGAAACGAAGGGTGGCAGCCAAAATGGCCAATCTCAAGTTCTTAATGGTGTCTACATACCCTGAAATCTACAATATTTAATAATTTTGATGATATTTTGAAATGTGATATAATTGGGCATTATCACTTGGACATGCTATTGTGGTAGAGAACTCAGATATCAACACAATATAGAAGATAATGTAAATAAATTAAATGGAACAAGTGAAGTTTGGGTTACACTTCTCCCATTTAAGTCATATAATTTAAAATGTATATTTATGAAACATGTTGATAGTCTATATTTTCTGAATTCCCAAAATAGTTTATGCAGGAAATGGAAAAAAAAAATAAGGATTCATCTATGTTCCTTGTAGTTCAAGAACATTACAAAAAGGATGGTCTCATATAAAAGGTACTTGCAATTTGAATTTTATGAAGATATGGTTTATACAGAGCGTATCAGGAATTATAAAGAATAATCTAACAGAGTCAAAACAGGAAAACAGAAGATGAGAATAGTTTGGTTGTTGTGGGTTTTTCGGGCTCTTTGGCCATGTTCTGAAGGTTGTTCTTCCTAACGTTTTGACAGTTTCTGTGGCCGGCATCTTCAGAGGACAGGAGCAGCACTCTGTGCTCTGGTGCAGTTTGTTTGGGAGTTGAATATTTATAGCTGTGGGATCAGCTTTTGTCCTTTTCAGGAGATGGGTGATTAAGGTGATCATTGTATTTTTGTTGTGGGTGTATTGTTGTGATAAGGAGAGATTATCTGTCACTGTGATTGATGGGTGTCGTTAGCTGGTCTTTTTGTGTGTAGTGATCACCGGTCCTTGTGGCTGGGTAGAGGTCGTTGACCTTTTGCACGCTGTATTTTTCAGTGCTGGGAGCCAAGCTTTGTTGAGTTTGAAACTTTCTTCTTTTTGCTGAAGTTCTGCTGGTGTTTGTGTATTTCAATGGCTTCCCTGTGCAGTCTGACATAATGATTGCTGGTGTTGTCCAGTATTTCAGTATTTTTAAAATAAATGTCTGATTTACAGGACACATCCATACCTGCTATTGTTATTCAAATGACAGCACAGGTAGAAGTACAAATTTCTCAAAGTAGGCCACAAGGGCAGATAGAACAGATATGATTTTAAATAAGCTAATTTACTGGCTGAAATCATGGAACACATTGTGGGCAAGTAATGTGCACCCTTAATCAGTTGTTATTTGCTGCTGATGCTCATCATTATTGTGCACATGGAGCTCTGCAATAGAAATTCAAGCAAATGTCTGCTATCCATGCCAAGTTTAAAATATCATGTTACACTTTCAGAAGTGGAACATTTTTAAACAAGCAGTTAGTCCCATTCAGAGAGCTCTTCTTGGCAACAATCCATATTTGAACTATTGGGTAGCTCAAGCTCTCTCTCCTCTTAAAGAATATGACCAATTCTGCTATTCTCCTATCAGTGTAAGTCTTGTCACAAATGACTTCCCATTTTTGCTTCTGCCAAAAGGCTTGCAGTGAATGGACTCCTAGCCTACCGAGGCCCTTGGTCACGTGAGGAAAATATTCTCTAGTTATCCCCCAGTTCATTTTTTTTCCCAGGTCACATGACGTACAGTCAAGATGGAGACATTTTCCTGGCCAATGGTGTAACTTCAGAACATTTTCGCATAACCAGCAGGGGTATATTATTTTGTACCTTTGTTGTGGTGGTGAATTCCTTACCCGATTGCCTGTGTGCATTATCTGATCTTATTCTTTTCAGAATCGTAGCCAGGAAGGTGGTAGCATACATTACTGCAGCACACACATTTTTTAAAAAATGTTCACGCCCAAAGCAGTCTGCTCAGGGACTTAAAACCTGTTTACTTTTTGAGGCTATCAAATAGATGCAACCGGGTTAGAAATTGGTTTCCACCACCCAAAAAACTGAAAGCAAACATTTGGATTCACTACTTTAAATTTAGCTGCCCTCTAGCCAGCCATGAGAAAAAACAATGAACTGCCTGGAACACAGAATTTGAATTAAATGTGAACAGGCCAAGACAATTTGCTTCTCTACGATTTATTTATTTATTTATTTATTTATTTAGATATCT